GGGTACAGCTGGCTCTGCCTCTAGATAGGCAGAGCCAGCTGTCACTCACGCAGCTGGGCGGATCCCGTCATCTAAGTCGTGATCCGCTCCGGCTGCGGCGTCTCAGTATACCGCGAGCTGTAGCTCGCGGTATACTGAGCTTAGGGTAACGGGAGGACGCTAGTTTGTGTCCTCCCGTTACCCTAAGGAGAACTATGGGGAAAAACACTGACCCCATAGTTCTCCTTTAAAGCTGATCTCCAGACTCACCTTCCGACTTACTCTGATTATACTGCACACTGTGAGCTTCCCATTGGGAGCTGCAGCAAGTCAGACACAGCCCGTCTCATTTCGTGGCTGGAGGTCATCCAGCATCATCTAGCGCTTTCCTCCCCAGGCTGACTGTCCCTGGCCCACCCCTTTCATTTATTGGATTTCAGCTCTTTCAATCATGGAGGTTCAGCATCAGATGCGGGCCTTCCCTAGAGTGGTCTGTATGCAAATGCAGCTTGCCTAGGAATGTCCACCCCTCCAGACTGATATCCACCCAGAAAGGCATTGTGATATTTGCATAACTCCTCTCAAGAGCCAGCCCACGCCTTGCATCAGGGCTGAGGGCTCTTGAAAAGGGTGATAAGGCAGGTTGATGTGATGTTTTCAGGAAGCTGTTTACAGTCCCTCCAACCAGCCCTCGCATTGCATAGAGAAGCATAAGGACCCAGTGATGATGTCACTGGGTCTATAATATGTTGTCTAATGTAAAACTGAAGGTTTTATTATAAAATGTGATCAGCATCTTAATGAGGCCAAAATATAAGCAGATTGAACTTTAGCTCTAAATTCCTTGTTCACAACACTTCCAGTGAAAGTTCCCGGTCATCTGAAACCTCTTTGGATGCAGCTAAACATTATTTAGAATTAAAAAAAGCTACAGATTACCAGGAAGCAGGTGGAGGGGAGGGTATAGTACACATCAGTCAAACCTTTGCTTTAAGCCCCTATACCTCAGGGGTGGGCAAACTCTGGCCCTTCAGCTGTTGTGGAACTACAAATCCCATGAGGCATTGCAAGATTCCCACAGCCACGACTCCCAGAGACAGATGCATGATGAGATTTTGTAGTTTCCCCACAGCTGGAGAGCTGGAGTTTGCCCACCTCTGCTCTACCCTATACTACAGAAATGACAGCTGGATTCTGATTGGTTGCTTTAGGCATCACAGGCACTCCCCACCTGTGGTCATGAATGATGCAGATGGTGTTCATATGTGCATTCTCTCACCTGTACTGGAGGAGGGGCTGGAGGCATTGGCTGATCCAGTGAGGTAAGGGCGGACATTGCGGACAGCAGGACCTCATCATTCACCAAAACGTTCCCTTGTACCAGAGTCTGGATGAGCGGCGACGGGGGGACGGCGATGTACGTGGAGATCTGTATGAGAAGGAATAAAGTACAGACTTAGAACCCCTCTGCTTTCTAATTTATACCTATTGAGGCAAATCCTCATGTTAAGGGAAGCCAAGTGTTATCAGTGATTGTATCTTGTTAGTTATTATTGAAATACATATTTTTTTAATCAATAAACTTTTATTGCAAAAACTATTCCATTGTATTGTATTATTACAATATTTACCTGTAAGCTGAAATACATGCAGAGAGATTAAAAATGTGGGAGGGGCATAGCGGAGCTCAGGGTTGCGGAAAGATTAACTAGACGTAACTGACTCTTGCTTGAGAAGAGGTGAATGGGGGCTTATAGTTACCGTGTATAAATAAATAAATAGCCCACACAGCACAATTTATGCTAAGCTCTTTAAAGTCATTGCAGTTAATAAGGTGGCACTCTTTGCAACTGGATATGGATTCTTTATAGTAAGAGCTGTACAAGCGCAGGACAGACTTCCCAGGGCACAGTGTAGCCCATGTCCTATAGCTGTGCACACAGCCGTCTCCCACGGCACCGTGTGGCCCATGTCCTATAGCTGTGCACACTGCTGCCTCCCAGGACACAATGTAACCCATGTCCCATAGCTGTGCACACTGCTGCCTCCCAGGACACAATGTAACCCATGTCCTATAGCTGTGCACACAGTTATCTCTCAGGGCACAGTGTAGCCCATGTCGTTTTGCTGTGCACACAGTCATCTCCCAGGGCACAGTGTAACCCATGTCCTATAGCTGTGCACACAGCCGTCTCCCAGGGCACAATGTAACCCATCTCCTATAGCTGTGCACACAGCTGTCTCCCAGTGTACAGTGTAACCCATGTCCTATAACTGTGCACACAGTCATCTCCCAGGGCACAACGTAATCCATGTCCTATAGCTGTGCACACATCCCTCTACTAGGGCACAATGTAGCCCATCCCCTATAGCTGTGCACACAGCTGTCTCCCAGTGCACAGTGTAGCCCATGTCCTATAGCTGTGCACACAGCTGTCTCCCAGTGCACAGTGTAGCCCATGTCCTATAGCTGTGCACACAGCTGTCTCCCAGTGCACAGTGTAGCCCATGTCCTATAGCTGTGCACACAGCTGTCTCCCAGGGCACAGGGTTGCCCATGCCCTATAAATGTGCACACAGTTGTCTCACAGCCAACAATGTAGCGCATTTCCTAGATCTGTGCACACAGACTTCTTCCAGGGCACAGTGTAGCCCATGCCCTATAGATGTGAACAAAGCCATCTTTCAAGGCACAGTGTAGCATGTGCCCTTTAGATGTGGACAAAGCCATCTCTCAAGGCACAGAGTAGCCCATGCCCTATAGATGTGCACGCAGCCATCTCTCAAGGCACAGAGTAGCCCATGCCCTATAGATGTGCACGCAGCCATCTCTCAAGGCACAGAGTAGCCCATGCCCTATAGATGTGCCTAGATGTGATGTCGTATTAAACCCAGAAAACTGACATGACAGCCAGACAACCAGCATTTTCAGAAAGAGAGATCATTAACATGCTACCTCTTTTTTCAGGTTTCCTTTAATGCAATAAAAAGTATGAAAGAGAAAATGGAAAAATGTGGAAGTCACATGAATAATTCCTTAAAGCGAATTGCTGAAATAACTGAAAACATACTCACCTGTCTGTTAACTGATTGCTGTTGCACGGAGCTGACAGGCGGCGTATAAACACTGTGGTTGCCCAGGGAGACAGATGCGAGGGATGGTGCGTTGCCATGGCACTGCTCCCGTTTGTGGATCATAAAACCCGGCAGGGAGTTAAATTGTTTTTTGCACTTCCCGCACAGGAAGACATCTTCATCATCTGCAAAGAACATCAGAAATCAACACGTGTACATGTAACATAAATGTAACATGCGTTCTATTGGCGCCACTGTGTGCTGACATTAAAAGCCCATTCAGACTACATATTGCAATAATGTAACACAATACCATGCGTATGGTGCACTCTGCCTTAATGGTCCTACCACATTGAAAAAGGCCCAGCGGAGGAACTCCACTACTCAACTCATACATGTCTGAGCTCCGTGAGCTGTGATCTGGCTCAATTTTGTCCCGTGACCATTTAGGAAGTGACATGACTATACCAAACTATATTATCTTCTGCCCTGTAGAGGAAGAGAAAATGCGTTCATTTCATACCAAGTCCTTGGATTGGTCCGGCGCTGCTGACATTTTGAGCGTTGTGGTCAGATACTCCACCTTGGCCATCAAGTAAGGACTGAACAGCTAACACTGTCTGGTTGTCCATGCCTGGAGAAAAAGAAATATGGTTGTCAGACTCCACCACGGGGTGTCAGGGTGGGTGTACTACATGATGGAAGCACCAGTAATGCAGTCGTGTCATGTCTGGCTCTGTACAGTGAATATCCGATTATTATTATATGGCTTTGAAGACGTATGGCAATTATGCACGAGCACCTGCAATTCACATCCATCAGTATGAAAGATCTACGACCAGCTATCAACCATGAATCAGCAGCAACATCAAGGAAGCCTGTACTAATATAAAGGCTGCCATTGAAGATCTCTCCTTTTATAATGCTATTTCCCTGGCTATGAGGCTAATTCATTAACTTCAATACAGACTAGAAACAGACATGAAACCGTGATGCGTGCATCGAAGACAAATTTCACCCCGTGAACAAAAAAAGTGAATCGTGAAATCACAGCACACTAAAAAAAAAGTTTGGTTCTCCTCCGAAAAGGAAGGGCCTCGAATTCTTGAACCCCCCGGGGCGCAAGGCTCCTGACAGGGGCAAGGATGACTTAGATCCACCTACCCGAAAGCTGGCGGACCCCTCTCCTCAAGGACCTGCTGAAACAGGTCCTTTGAGTACTAGGTGGGGGCTCTCCCAAAGAGAGACCCCCGAGTGGGAGGAAGCAGGGGAGCTAATAGGGGCCACAGAACCTCCTCCCTGACATCAGGACAGGCCCTGAAGGTACCTGCACCCTCCGTCTTCTGTGAAGTCAAAGGTGTAATCGTGCAAAAAAGGTGGTGCGCAAATAAATAAGTGTCAGTGCACAACCCTGGCAGGCCTTTCGGCCAGAGTAAAAAATATTGCCCCAAGCTAGCCATAAGGCCTGCCTAAGAGGCGTAGGGCAGAAAATGCTAGAAGTGCCGTGATCTATTGACAGTTAATCACGGTGGGGTCCCACACCCAAGTGATAATCTGGCGCACCCTGGGACGCCACCCCCAAGGGGCACAGCACCACTGGCCTCTGCGCCTCCCGAACCCACCAGCCAGACCAGAGGTGCAGCACCCATCCCCATCAGGAGGCATTAGTACCGAGGAAGCTCCCCCTCTTCTAAGGAGCCGCCTCAACACCCACCTTCACTTCGGACAGTACTAAGCAACCATCTGCCCCAGGAAGGTCCATGCTGTTCCCCTCTGAAAACTGGTAAGAACAGGTACTACACTTGATCTTAGCCAAAAGGCCGAGAAGCAATTCAAGTAGAACAGAAGCCATAACTTTTTTGGTATTGGATAGAGTAAGGGTGGGTTGTAACCCTGTCGGCTTTTATTGCCATCTGTGTCCCATTGGGGAGATTTCCTTTCACTTCCGGTCTGATAACCACAACAGGAAGTGAGAGGAAATCCCTTCAAAGTGAGGGAAATCCCTGGTGGTCAGTTGGGTGATCAGAACTAGTGTCCCCATTGGAAGATTTCCCATCTTGTTCTGTTGACAGCCCAAATGTGGAGTTTTCTTTTACGTTCGGTGATAACGGTCACCAGGACGAAAAAAAATAAACAGGGACACAGACAGCAATAAAAACCTGGCAGATGTTCCAATCCCTCTCCACTCAATCCAAAACTTAAAGTTTTGGCTTCAGTTGCACTTTTAGAATTTAGAGGAACTGAGCTCTGGAAGCTGTGCGTTGCACCCGAGCGTGCCTTACAATGCACCAGTGCTCTACAACACATGGAATGCGTTTTGTGCACCGCATTGGAAATTGCAGGTACGTTTTCCTGTCCACTGTGATGCGTTGGCAGCCCATTCAAAATGAATGGATTGCCTTAACACGACGCATGTTAACAAATGACACCAAAGTGGACAGTTGTGAATAGGCAGTTGGATGGCATAACAGCTGGGCTTCTTGCATTTTCAAAAGAAGGTCAGTAATGGCAGCACATACATCTCTATCATGACAGGTTTACTTCGAAGTAGAGAAAGGATCCAGGGAAGATAGGAAAAACAAGACTTGATTGAAGAAGTACTCCATGCTGGTTGCTATATAGGTTTCATCTATTATTGTGGAACATTATAGTTTATATCGTTTTTCATTTCTATATATGCAAGTGAAGGAGATCGGCTTCATGTGAGTTATAAAGTACATATTATCAACACAAAATCTACATGTTCTCAATCACTGGATTGTATATTATTCATTTATTATTGATATTTATGTGGCGCAGACAAATGTTCTCAATCGTTGAATTGTATGTTCTCGGTCATTGTATTGTATGATCTCAGTCATTGTATTGTATGATCTCAATCATTGTATTGTGTGTCCTCAGTCATTGTAGTGTGTCCCCAGTCATTTTATTGTGTCCTCGGTCATTGTACTGTATGATCTCAGTCATTGTATTGTGTCCTCGGTCATTGTATTGTATGATCTCAGTCATTGTATTGTATGATCCAAATCATTATATTGTGTGATCTCAGTCACTGTATTGTATGATCCAAATCATTATATTGTGTGATCTCAGTCACTGTATTGTGTGTCCTCAGTCATTGTATTGTGTGACCCTAATCATTGTATTGTGTCCTCAGTCATTGTATTGTGTGACCCTAATCATTATATTGTGTCCTCGGTCATTGTATTGTATGATCTCAGTCACTGTATTGTATGATCTCAGTCATTGAATTATGTGATCTCTGTCATTGTATTGTGTCCTTGGTCATTGTATGATCTCAGTCATTGTATTGTATGATCTCAGTCATTGTATTGTGTGTCCTCAGTCATTGTATTGTGTGTCCTCAGTCATTGTATTGTGTGTCCTCAGTCATTGTATTGTGTGTCCTCAGCCATTGTAGTGTGTGTCCTCAGTCTTTGTATTGTATGATCTCAGTCATTGTATTGTGTCCTCAGTCATTGTATTGTGTGTCCTCAGACTTTCTCCAGCAGTGACATCTCATGTTTAGGACACAAGGGTGTCAGCGATCAGATGTCCCAGGTTTGCTGTTCCATTTCTCTAGTCTGACACCCTTCTCCCCAACAATGGCAGCTCTTCCCGGATCCTGCCCCCCTCTGCTGCACCTAACAACCCCTGTGCTCTTCCAGTACACTCCCTCCTGCGGCTCTTCTCCCCCCCGGGCACCCCTCCCTCCGCGGAATCCGGAGCTCACCCCCCACCACTGACTGCACGTACTACGCTACGGCGCCCAGCAGCGCTCCTCCGGTCTATACATAGCCAGCATGGAATACATTTCACATTTTACCTTCAAAAGCCTCAAATATCGCTTGCGCCATCTTGCAGGCTGCCGTTGTCCTAAGAGCAGCATTATGGGAAATGTCCCATCTGTGTAATGCAAAGAGTGACCGGCAGAGGGCGGCAGAGCTCATCCCTAACTACATGGGTGGAAATAATAATTATTATTATTATGATTATTATTGTTATTATCATTGATAAAAAATATTACCAAAATATTAGAATAATAATAATAATTATCCTATTTGAAGCCATGATGGAGGGGTAGTGTTGTTGCCCCGAAAGGTGTTGGCTGGTGTTTGTTTGCTTGGATTGTGAAAAATTAAAATTTGTTTTTGGACTCTTTCGCCTTTCTGTTTGGCGCCCTCTTTTTCTAAACATTTAAATGAATGGGCCGCATTTACATAACACACGTTAGCGTGACGTAAAACACATGAGCTAATGCCGTGCAATAGTGTGAAAAGCTAACACCAATCACAGGTTTTGTTATGTTTTAGATACAGTAGCGCATGTGTAAGGGCCATATCAGATGCGCAATTCTGCTGTTGCTGGCGCATCATTAAGGAGAGGCTTCCACATACCCTAATGCAGCTGTGGGAAACTCCGGTGTTCTATCAAAGTTTGTGACTGGGTTGGAATGTGTGACCGGTCACACATTTTAATGTAATCACGCCCAGTTTTACAGCGATGGAATATGTGACCGGCAAAAGGTGAGGAATTCCAACGCTTTCTCAGCTGTTCCAGGGCAGATCGGCATCGCAGATGGTATGTGCAGTTGGACCGATCTGCCCTGGAACAGCTGATCGGTCCTGAGATGTCACTTCTATCCGACTCTGTGAGTGCGATATCACATTCCACAAAGTCACATTACTGGACCAATCAGCTGTTCCAGGGCAGATCGGTCCTCCTGCACATACCATCAGCGATGGCAATGTGACTGCGTTAGAATGTGTGACCTGTGACGTGGTCACACATTTTAACGTAATCCCGCCCAGTTTTACAGCGGTGGAATGTGTGACCGGTCACACATTTTAACGTAACCACGCCCACTTTTTGGGCGGTGGAATATGTGACCGGCAAAAGGTGAAGAATTCCAACGCTTTCTCAGCGGTTCCAGGGCAGATCGTCATGGCATATGGTATATGCACGGGAACCGATCTGCCCTGGAACAGCTGATTGGTCCAGTAATGTGACTTTGTGGAATGTGATATCGCACTCACAGAGTCGGATAGAAGTGACATTTCAGGACCGATCAGCTGTTCCAGGGCAGATCGGTTCCCGTGCATATACCATATGCCATGACGATCTGCCCTGGAACAGCTGAGAATGCGTTGGAATTCTTCACCTTTTGCCGGTCACATATTCCATCGCTGAAAAAGTGGGCGTGATTACGTTAAAATGTGTGGCCACGTGACCGGTCACACATTCCACCGCTGTAAAACTGGGCGGGATTACATTAAAATGTGTGACCACGTCACCGGTCACACATTCTAACGCAGTCACAAACTTTGATAGAACACTGGCCCTCCAGCTGTTGTGGAACTGCAAGTCCCATGGGGCATTGCAAGACTTTGACAGCTACAGGCCTGACTCCCAGAGGCAGAAGCATGATGCCATTTGTAGTTAAAACACAGCTGGAGGGCCGGTGTTCTATCAAAAGCTCCGACTTGTCAAGCTCTCCGACTGGCGACGTCACATCCAGTGACTGCCAGTAGGAGATCTAGACCAGATGGAGCTACTGTGCATGCATTAGCCGGGCGGCTGTCTTAATCCTGGACTCGCCTCACTGCGCCTGCGTGCCTTCATACAGCCTGTTGAGTTCTCCAACACTACTCGCTGCGCCTGCATGTCTTCACCTTCCCTGTCACGATGTAGGCGCACTGAGCGGGGTTGTAGGATTCAACGGCGATAATGGATCCACGCAGGCGCAGTGGTGAGTGGGGTTGTAGGATTCTACGGCAATTTATGGAGTTGCGCCAGTTACAGATTTCGACAAAGAGTCTATGGATTATTGTAGTAGTAGGGATGGCGCACGTGCATTGTCGGCAAGTGGACTAAAGCTCCGACTGGCAAGTGACCGGATGTGACGTCAGCAGTCAGAGATCTCGACGGGTTGGAGCCTTCGACAGAACACCAGAGCTGCCCACCCCTAGTCTAAGGGAGATTTTCCCTCCCTTTGGAGAGATTTGCTCTTACTTCCTGTTGCGTTTCTGGGAAAAGAAGCAAGGGGAAATCTCCTAAACTCATAAACGCAGTTCTAGCCCTTTTTTTAAACTACCCTTAGGGCTTATAAGACCTCTCCAGTTCATGTGCACATTGACACACTTGTTCCATGCTGCTGTACCCTTCTGTGACAATGGCACCTCAATACATTAACCCTACACACCTTTGACGCACATACATTGCGATGCACTACAACATAAAGTGACGCACTACTGTACCCTGTGGCGTACTGCTTTATAAAAATGGCTCATGTCTGATTTGTGGTCGGTTTGGGTGCATTGGCAGCCCATTTATTTGAATGGCCTGCCTTAACAAAATGCGCGGTACCACGCAGAAAAATGGGCGTTAATGTGTGTGCAGTAACGGAACATATCACAAAGGACAGGTCTGAATGGGCCCATGATGCAGTATTTACATTCCTGATCACACCCAGAGTTGTCTTTGGGGGGAATTCATAAAAACTGGAGCAGAGAAAATCTGAAGCAGTTGCCCATGGCAACTAGTAAGCTTATCTGTTTCCTTTTTAAAGCTTAACTGAACATACTAAAGACAGAAGCTGAGTGGCTGCCATGGGCAACTGCTCCAGTTTCTTTTAATTCCTCCCATTAAGTCTTAAAGGTTAAACTCCATTTTTTAATATAAAAGTGTCATATTGGAAGAGAAAACTCATGTCATGTACAATCATTTCAGCTGCAGTTAACTCAGCGAACTCATACAAAAGAGCTGAATTGTGCAACATAGGAACCAGTCCTCCGCCGAGCCCCGCCCCGCACCCAAAAGGGGAACTGAGTGCGCGGAGCTCTGTTATATCCGGGGATTTTTAAAGGATGCAAATGACCTTTGGAACGCCGGTGGAACGCACAAGGTTCAAGTACCCAGAAGTGTCAAAGCTTTCTGGCTGTCAGAATGGCGGGGGCCGTGTTACCGAGCTCTGTGATGCGGGATTGTACTGATTTCTGTAATGCAACCAGCCATATAAACACGCATAGGGACGGTTCAATGACCCCTATACAGTCAGCGGGTTTGGGAGCCAACTCAGTGGCCCTGAACCAGGAAGAGCTCGTAGAGACTCTTAAACATCCTCCATGCTACAACTGGAGCATGATTTAAAATTTTTAAAAGCAAGCATGTGAAAATGCAGGTCTCTTCACACAATGTTACTGTGGACAGCAACCTTGTCATCAGGGCAGGAAAGCCCTCCCAACCATGGTCACAGATTCACAGACACCAAGAAAAGAAACAGAGAGGGATTCCAAATATTGATTGATATTAAACCTTAGAACTTTTTTCAATAATGAATCCATATGAAACACATATTCATCACACAGCAAAGTCTACAGCATCCATCTACTAGCTTGGAGAAGGGAGGAAGGAGGAGAGGGCAGCAGGGGGCAGAGGCCAGGGAAATGGCTAGTTGTGCCTTGCTGTGTATTTTGGGCACAAACAAGGGTGGCTCCATAGGACCCTGTAGGGGAAAGGAGCAACGTTTAAACAGGGTATTGGGGCGTGTGCTCGGGGGACCAGCTGATTCTGCAGAAGCAGCATCCATTTTAAGTGATTTAATCAGCATTTCACTTTTTAATATCATTTTAATTACAATGAAGCAGGGGGTTGGCAACCATGACGCTCCAGCTGTGGTGAAACTACAAATCCCATCATGCAGCTGCCTCTGGGAGTCATGGCTGTGGTTGTCAGTCTTGCAATACCTCATGGGACTTGTAGTTCTACAACAGCTGGCGGGCCGAGGTTGCCTACCCCTGCATTAAAGAATGGCCTAAATTGGCAAAGTGAAGGATTCACTTAACACCTGCCGCAAAATGCAGCATAATCAGTGGACTGTACTGTTTGGTTGTGCTGGTAATTCTCCTGCTTGAATATAACGATGATGTCCAGAAACATTACTATGCGGTTATGTACTCATCAACAGGCAAATGGCTAAAATACTAAACTAAGAGTCAGTGACCTGAGCCATACAGACATGATATGAAGATGACTGGAGATGAATGAAATAATAAATATTCGGTTACTTTCTTTCTTTCTTAAAGGTATGGAGCTAAAATCCGGGCACCCCATGCACTGGTGATGACATTCCTGTTTAAGTCTGGAAGGTAATTTACGATAAGAGCGTTTATTCAGAATGTTTTGTCTTCTTATACCTGTGTATTGTATTCGGCTCCTACCAAGAACATGGGCAACTGTCACTCCAGTTGGACCTTTTAAAGGGCAATTATGGGGAGAGAGAAATACACTCACCCCCATAATTACAGCGAACGTGTGACAGCTTAAGCTGTCGCATGTCGGCTCTATTGTTTGGGAACTGACCGATCATACATTGCTGATCGTTCAGCTCCTGATCTTCTCCCTTCAGAGTGGTGACTGTCAGTCACCACTCTCCAGTCCTCCAGCGCTGACTGGAGAAACAGACGGGGAGGGGGCGGGCACAGCTGGCTCTGCCTCTGGAGAGGCAGAGCCAGCTATCAATCAGACAGTGAGGTGGATCACGACAATATTGTCAGGATCTGTCCCGGCTGCTCTCAGTTTTGAGTCACAGGAGGACATTGGTATATGTCCTCCTGTGACCCTAAAGAGAACTAAGGCAAAAAAAAAAGTTGGGCTATAGTTCTCTATTAAATAGACCATTACTGTTGGGAAAATTGACCAGAATGATCCTCTTATCTTATAACTTGCTCTGAAGAAGTTAGAGTTAAGCTGACCATACGTTGCCTGAATTTTTTGGCTGCATCCTGCTGACTCGGTCGAAATCTGAGCTGTGGGTTGCCGAAAAGTAGATTTTTCGATCCTTTAAAAGAGAACTATGGGCAAACTGGCTTTAGCCTGCTATATGCTGACAGCGGCTTTAGCCTGCTATATGCTGACAGCGGCTTTAGCCTGCTATATGCTGACAGCGGCTTTAGCCTGCTATATGCTGACGGCGCAGAGCCGCGCCGCAGCTGGAAAAGGCTGCAAACATTTTGTCGAGATCCACCCAGCTGCCTGATGACATGAAGCTTAGGGTCCCCACACACCTTACGATTATCGTACGATAATCGCGGGAAATCCCGCAATCGTACGATGATCGTAAGGTGTGTGGAAGCCGTGCGACCTCTACTACTGTAAGGTCGCACGACTTTAAACTTACGAACATGTTTGAAAACCCGCCGAGCATCGTACGATGTTCGGCGGGTTTGTGGCATGTCCGTACGATAACAGCCGCACGGGCTGGTGTGCACAAGCGCACACTGCCCGTTCGGCATTGCGGTCATCGGAAGCCCGCCCCTCAGGGGGCGTGGCTTGCGATCATCGCAAGTACGATCTGCCTATGCAACATAGGCAGATCGTACGTTTTTTTAAGTACATTATAACCATCGCAAGACAGAAGTCTTGCGATGGTTGTAAGGTGTGTGCCCATCCTTACACAGGGTTTGGACAGAAGAACAGAGCAGCAGGGGGGGCGGGGCGCAGGGATGATGACTATTAGCGGGCGGGGGGTTCTTCTTATAAGAGAACCTGTCATTTTGTCTTGAATGGAGATAGTAACAGAATGTCCTTAGGGCAGGGGTAGCCAAACTTCAGCCCTCCAGCTGTGCTGAAACTACAAATCCCATGATGCATCTGTCTCTGGGTGTCGTGGCTGTGGGAATCTTGCAATGTCTCATGGGATTGGTAGTTTTACCACAGCTGGCGGGCCGGAGTATGGTTACCCCTGCCTTAGGGGAACACAAAAAAAGACAAATGAGAGCGGATATGGTACATAAATGGTTTTCTTTTTTTTTTCTTCATGTCTTAACCTTGTGTTTCCGTAGTTTAAAAGACAAGCTGAAAGCCATCCTCCAGGCGACGTTCACTCATTCGCGGAACCTTGCTTATTTCGTCTTCACATATAAGGGCCTCTTGACGGCTCAGGAGAAACTACATGGAAGCAAGTGGCAGTTCCATTCCTTCCTGGCAGCTAGTGTGGGCGGATGGGTGGTATTCGGAGAGAATAATAACATCAATAGTCAGGTAAGGCTAAACAATGGATGGGGGCAGGTCCAGGTATCAAGTAAAAACCATTGATGAATGAACTGCTAATGGAACTCAGGTAATAATGCAGCTGTGTAAAAGTCAGAAAGTTCCCTCTCTCATGGAAGGAAGGTGGGGGTTGCCCTTTCTAACCTTTCTTAATTCGTGCCTCTGTTGCATCCATTGTTCGCTGCTTCGCAAAGTTAGAGATGGCGGTAGAATCTTCAGCATCAAACACTTCCGGTCGCCCTGGTATAGCTCTTCCACAACCTGTACGCCAGTAGTGCGTCCCCGCAGCTTGACGGTCCCTTCGAGCTCTGGGGATTGAAATGTTGGCTAAGCTCTGGACAGCAGTGTAAGGATAATTAGTTGACATGTTTTAGTGGCTCACCGGTCCCTCTTCATCGGGACTAAAGGGTGCAGTATATACATGAACATTTCTCGGCAGACAATTGAAAATGAAATATACATATGATAAAAGATGCAATACAGGTTTATACTTCAAGAAGTAAAGTAAAATGCATAAAAATCTCTAAAGACGATAGGATGATGTTAATAATCGTGCAAAGAATGATAAAACAAATGGTTAATTATTATTATTATATATTATGTATTTATGTGTTTTTATATTTTTATTACTATTATTTTTATTAATATTATTACTATTTAATAATTATTTAGACACTGCATAGGTATTGGTAGATCTGAAGGAGATTGTACTATCCAATTGCAATGTGTGTGTTGTGCTTAGAGACATCTGGCTGAGGGCCAGAAATGCCCTCAGCTCCTAATGTCCTGTAAGGAGCTGACAGCTAAACCTAACAAAGTGGGAAGGGGTTCTGTAGTCCCAGCAGGGAAGAACTCTGGCACAACTGAGACCACTGCTTGGGATTCCAGTGCTGCAGAGTCGGCATTATCAGCACACTATAGGAGGAATTAGGAGCTCAGTTCATTTCTGGCGGGATCAACAGGTATTTTCAGTACTTTCAGTGTATTTAAGGATATAAAACATGGCTTGTATTGCATGGATGTGATTTACAGCAGCGCACAACTCCTGCAGTTGAGGTTGTCGGCTGGTAACCCACAACCCTGACAACACAGGTTATCTCTCTATCTGTATATTTGCATCAGTTGCTTGGAATGGTAGAACACATTCTAGCTCTTCTGTTTTATGATCACATGACCTTGGACTTTAACAGACAAGTCTGAGCAATCCTACTGATCCAGGATTTCACTGCCCGATATTCCTGCCAACTGTCTTTATATTTTCCCTATTTATTTCCAGAAGAACTTCAGGATTTATTCAAATGAACCCTTATTATTATGCAGGATTTATATAGCACCAACAGATTGTGCAGCACTTTACAAAATGAAGGGAAGACATTACAGTTGCAATTCAATATAGGAGGGTTAGGAGGGCCCTGCTTGTGAGAGCTTACAATCTAGAAGAAGGGGGAAGCGACACAAAAGGCATTATTTGGTGAGGGATGAGCTGATGGAAGAAGTAAAAGTACAGTTATGTGAAGATGGGATCGACTTCCCTCAAGGGATGAGTTTTCAAGGATCGCCTAAAGGTGGATAGCCAGACAGATTAGGGTAGGGAGTTGCAGAGGATGGTAGAGGCTCTGGAGAAGTCCTGTAGGAGAGCATGGGAGGAAGTAATGAGGCTACACTGACTGCAGGCTGTATCCCAGCAGAAGGACACATCTCTTCTTACAGAAGCACGTAGTCACTTATACCAGAGGTGTAACTAGGCCTGACAGCGGTATAGAATATTGTACAAATAGAACTGTATTGATGCACCTTGTAATAAATGTTTATTTCCCATAACGTCTTCCAGGACAGCATCACGAGATGGGATCTCCTCCCCCACACACAGGAAACACGTCACTTAATCTGTTTAAAAGACCCTCCGCTCCTCCACTCCCTCAGTCATCACGAGAACCGAAGGCAAGCTGGAAAAAGACAAGGCACATACAGGCAATACCACCACATCACATTAATACTACAAGCATCAATGGGCGGGCAGTTGCTGTCCTGGAAGACTAATGGAAATAGAGTTACCGGTAAGTCCTAACTCTGAATTTCCCATAACGTCTTCCAGGACAGCATCACGAGATGGGATCTCCTCCCCCACACACAGGAAACACGTCACTTAATCTGTTTAAAAGACCCTCCGCTCCTCCACTCCCTCAGTCATCACGAGAACCGAAGGCAAGCTGGAAAAAGACAAGGCACATACAGGCAATACCACCACATCACATTAATACTACAAGCATCAATGGGCGGGCAGTTGCTGTCCTGGAAGACTAATGGAAATAGAGTTACCGGTAAGTCCTAACTCTGAATTTCCCATAACGTCTTCCAGGACAGCATCACGAGATGGGATCTCCTCCCCCACACACAGGAAACACGTCACTTAATCTGTTTAAAAGACCCTCCGCTCCTCCACTCCCTCAGTCATCACGAGAACCGAAGGCAAGCTGGAAAAAGACAAGGCACATACAGGCAATACCACCACATCACATTAATACTACAAGCATCAATGGGCGGGCAGTTGCTGTCCTGGAAGACTAATGGAAATAGAGTTACCGGTAAGTCCTAACTCTGAATTTCCCATAACGTCTTCCAGGACAGCATCACGAGATGGGATCTCCTCCCCCACACACAGGAAACACGTCACTTAATCTGTTTAAAAGACCCTCCGCTCCTCCACTCCCTCAGTCATCACGAGAACCGAAGGCAAGCTGGAAAAAGACAAGGCACATACAGGCAATACCACCACATCACATTAATACTACAAGCATCAATGGGCGGGCAGTTGCTGTCCTGGAAGACTAATGGAAATAGAGTTACCGGTAAGTCCTAACTCTGAATTTCCCATAACGTCTTCCAGGACAGCATCACGAGATGGGATCTCCTCCCCCACACACAGGAAACACGTCACTTAATCTGTTTAAAAGACCCTCCGCTCCTCCACTCCCTCAGTCATCACGAGAACCGAAGGCAAGCTGGAAAAAGACAAGGCACATACAGGCAATACCACCACATCACATTAATACTACAAGCATCAATGGGCGGGCAGTTGCTGTCCTGGAAGACTAATGGAAATAGAGTTACCGGTAAGTCCTAACTCTGAATTTCCCATAACGTCTTCCAGGACAGCATCACGAGATGGGATCTCCTCCCCCACACACAGGAAACACGTCACTTAATCTGTTTAAAAGACCCTCCGCTCCTCCACTCCCTCAGTCATCACGAGAACCGAAGGCAAGCTGGAAAAAGACAAGGCACATACAGGCAATACCACCACATCACATTAATACTACAAGCATCAATGGGCGGGCAGTTGCTGTCCTGGAAGACTAATGGAAATAGAGTTACCGGTAAGTCCTAACTCTGAATTTCCCATAACGTCTTCCAGGACAGCATCACGAGATGGGATCTCCTCCCCCACACACAGGAAACACGTCACTTAATCTGTTTAAAAGACCCTCCGCTCCTCCACTCCCTCAGTCATCACGAGAACCGAAGGCAAGCTGGAAAAAGACAAGGCACATACAGGCAATACCACCACATCACATTAATACTACAAGCATCAATGGGCGGGCAGTTGCTGTCCTGGAAGACTAATGGAAATAGAGTTACCGGTAAGTCCTAACTCTGAATTTCCCATAACGTCTTCCAGGACAGCATCACGAGATGGGATCTCCTCCCCCACACACAGGAAACACGTCACTTAATCTGTTTAAAAGACCCTCCGCTCCTCCACTCCCTCAGTCATCACGAGAACCGAAGGCAAGCTGGAAAAAGACAAGGCACATACAGGCAATACCACCACATCACATTAATACTACAAGCATCAATGGGCGGGCAGTTGCTGTCCTGGAAGACTAATGGAAATAGAGTTACCGGTAAGTCCTAACTCTGAATTTCCCATAACGTCTTCCAGGACAGCATCACGAGATGGGATCTCCTCCCCCACACACAGGAAACACGTCACTTAATCTGTTTAAAAGACCCTCCGCTCCTCCACTCCCTCAGTCATCACGAGAACCGAAGGCAAGCTGGAAAAAGACAAGGCACATACAGGCAATACCACCACATCACATTAATACTACAAGCATCAATGGGCGGGCAGTTGCTGTCCTGGAAGACTAATGGAAATAGAGTTACCGGTAAGTCCTAACTCTGAATTTCCCATAACGTCTTCCAGGACAGCATCACGAGATGGGATCTCCTCCCCCACACACAGGAAACACGTCACTTAATCTGTTTAAAAGACCCTCCGCTCCTCCACTCCCTCAGTCATCACGAGAACCGAAGGCAAGCTGGAAAAAGACAAGGCACATACAGGCAATACCACCACATCACATTAATACTACAAGCATCAATGGGCGGGCAGTTGCTGTCCTGGAAGACTAATGGAAATAGAGTTACCGGTAAGTCCTAACTCTGAATTTCCCATAACGTCTTCCAGGACAGCATCACGAGATGGGATCTCCTCCCCCACACACAGGAAACACGTCACTTAATCTGTTTAAAAGACCCTCCGCTCCTCCACTCCCTCAGTCATCACGAGAACCGAAGGCAAGCTGGAAAAAGACAAGGCACATACAGGCAATACCACCACATCACATTAATACTACAAGCATCAATGGGCGGGCAGTTGCTGTCCTGGAAGACTAATGGAAATAGAGTTACCGGTAAGTCCTAACTCTGAATTTCCCATAACGTCTTCCAGGACAGCATCACGAGATGGGATCTCCTCCCCCACACACAGGAAACACGTCACTTAATCTGTTTAAAAGACCCTCCGCTCCTCCACTCCCTCAGTCATCACGAGAACCGAAGGCAAGCTGGAAAAAGACAAGGCACATACAGGCAATACCACCACATCACATTAATACTACAAGCATCAATGGGCGGGCAGTTGCTGTCCTGGAAGACTAATGGAAATAGAGTTACCGGTAAGTCCTAACTCTGAATTTCCCATAACGTCTTCCAGGACAGCATCACGAGATGGGATCTCCTCCCCCACACACAGGAAACACGTCACTTAATCTGTTTAAAAGACCCTCCGCTCCTCCACTCCCTCAGTCATCACGAGAACCGAAGGCAAGCTGGAAAAAGACAAGGCACATACAGGCAATACCACCACATCACATTAATACTACAAGCATCAATGGGCGGGCAGTTGCTGTCCTGGAAGACTAATGGAAATAGAGTTACCGGTAAGTCCTAACTCTGAATTTTTTATAATAATCTGAGATTAATAAAGTATAAATCATTTGCATTATGATTAAAACCGCGCTCTGAGTCCCTCCTCTTGTCTCTTGCAGATAAACATGTACTTATTGTCCCGTATCCTCTTTGGCTTGTCCCGGCTGGCAGTAGAGAAGGGTTATATCCCGGAGCCCAAGCATGACGTCTTCCCTATTTTCTCTGCCCTGGTGTGGGGATTTGTGCTCTGGCTGTTTGAATACCACCGCCATACTCTCCAGCCCTCGCTGCAGTCCTCCATGACGTATCTGTACGATGACAGCAACATCTGGCACGACATCTCTGACTTCTTGATATACAACAAGCCTAAGCAGGAGAAATAATACCGGGGTATCCCTGCTGGATGCACTGAAATGATACACAAGCTAATTGACCCCTTTGAATGGCGGGGATTGTATTGGTAAACCTCTTTATACTTGAATGGTAGAGTAATGCTGATGATTGATATTGCACCTTGACTGTCCTGGATATCGGAGTGTGTGAGGCCAGTCTAAAGCCCAGCTATAGCCAAAAACCATTTTTTGTCCTCGAGGTGAGAGGTGTTAGAAACTCTATCGGTTTTTTTTTTTTTTTCTGTCTTTGTCCTTGCTGGGAAGATTTCCCCTTACTTCCTGTCCTGGTGACTACACAGGAAGAGAGGGTAAAACCCTAACAGGGAACACAGCAGTAAAAAACAGTAGTATCAGGTAGTAGCATTGCTTTCTGCCTGCCGGGAATGTTTTCTTTACTTCCTCTCCCAGTGACCACACAGGAAATAAGGAAAAATCTTACTAAAGGGGCACTGCAATGAAACCTTACAGAGTTTTTAAACCAGTGGTTCTCAACTTATGAGGTATAGGAGCCTCGACTGTGGCCCCTGACAAGGGGTGCACATAATGTTCAGTATATGCAATACTAGGAAGGACTGCAGACATAAAGGAATTGGTGGTCAGAGGCTGGGATCATCCTCCAGGTTTGGGTACCAATTGGGCGAATGCTACAGGTTTGGCTGAAGATTGGCAACATGCTATAGGTTTGGGTAAAGATTGGCAACATGCTATAGGTTTGGGTAAAGATTGGCAACATGCTACAGGTTTGGTTGAAGATTGGGGGCATGCTACAGGTTTGGTTGAAGATTGGGGGCATGCTACAGGTTTGGTTGAAGATTGGGGGCACGCTACAGGTTTGGTTGAAGATTGGGGGCACGCTACAGGTTTGGTTGAAGATTGGGGGTGTGCTGCAGAAGACATTGAAAGACTAAGAACAGGTTACATGGGGCTTGTAGAGATCACTGCTATTACAAATAAATGCTCCCACTTCCATTATAGACTGCTGGGGGTCACGGAAGAAGAACCAAATGGCCATGGGTTGGGCACCAGGGTCGCAACATCTCCCCTTCCATACAAAGTTAGAAAAAAGGTTTTGGTATGGCCTAATTTGCATATGCATTTGTATATCTCTAACACATTTTATGGGCGTGTGTGCAAGCTGTTCAGCTCGGGCTGAGTTCACATGTGTTTGCTGCCCCCGCCAGAATGAAACAGAAACTGTACTGTAAAGAAAGAGGATTCCCTGACCACTGACACCTATTCTATAGATCTGGTGGAGGTGAATTTAGTGTTAATTACACATACCTCTGTGCCTCTGATCCGTAGGTACTGAGCGATATATCTCTAGACCTGGCAGTCATATCCATCCATCTGAATCTGTTGCTTGTCCTGGTCCACCATTTATGTTAAGTGAGGTATACAGCAATACCCGGCCATTTTAAGGTACCTAATTAAAGCAGAGCTCCGGGTAAAAATGTATGAACCCTTGCAGCGGGGCTACCCCAGCACTGCAAGGGATAAGGGCTTGTTTTTGACTAGGGTCAAAGATAATAAAAGGGTCAAAATTATACTCGCCTGATCCTCTGAGTTGGCTTGCTCTCTTAGACTGGTCCCTGGAGCCTCTCTCCCCCTCCGCTGCAATGTTCTAAGGTCCCAAAGTCATCACGTTCCATGAACAGTGTATTGGACGTGAGGACGATGAGGGACATACCATCACTGCAGCGGTCTGAGGTCCCTGAGTCATCACGTTCTATACACTGTGCACAGGATGTGAGGACGCTGAGGGACATACCATCACTGCAGCAGTCTAAGGTCCCGGAGTCATCACGTTCTATACACTGTGTACAGAATGTGAGGACACAGAGGGACATACCATCACTGCAGTGGTCTAAGGTCCCTGAAGCATCACGTTCTATACACTGTACAACACATGAGGACGCAGAGTAAGGAAAGAGGCAGGAGGGAGCACTGTCATAGCTGACTAGCTCCAAGGATCGAATGAGTAGAACTTTGGTGCAAGGGTTCATTGAAATTGTACCCGGATTTCTTCTTGAAGTTTATGGATTTCGGAGAAATGGGAATGCACGTTGCGTCTCTGTGGATAATCATTTTATTGTACGTGGTAATGAGGGAGAACGATGAATTAATATTTATCATTCCTGTCTTTTTAAAGGAAACCAGTACTGAGGGATTATGAAGGCTGCCATTGCTGAGCCGCCCTTCTAAGAATGCTGGTTGCCTGGCTGTGTCATGCTGATCCAGTGGTTTCAATAATTGCCGAGACTGACCCGGGACAAATATGCAGATCAGATGTTGTGCCTTGACTCCGATTTAACATGTATGTTTGTACCAGGCCAGAGACTCGGGAAGTAATGAAATAAGACAAAGCTAGACAACGTTGTATTTTTCTCAGTGTGGGTTTCCATTAGGTCAGGGGTGGACCCATTGATAGGGAATCAGGGGCCAGTCTGTCCAATCCAGAAGCCGGCTCCACTGACAACCACTAGAGAAAACCTCAGAAGTTAGGCGCCGACTGTCATATTTAAGGCCAAGTTCACAATGAGGGGAATTTATCAAAACCGGAGCAGACAAAATCTAGGAGCAGAGTTGCACTGCAACCAATCAGCTTCTCTGTCTCATTTTCCATTTCTTACCTGAGCAAACTGAAGAGAGAAGCTGATTGGTTGCCATGGGCAACTGCTCCAGTTTTGATCAATTCCTCCCAATGACTTTACCGCCCATTGGAAAGTAATCTGCAGTGGATGACTTTGCAGAGGGCGTTTGATGGCTGGTTGACAGCCAGTTTACAGGTGTTCAGGGGGCAATACTGTCACCTAGGGGCACGCTACAGGTTTGGTTCAAGATTGGGGGCACGCTACAGGTTTGGTTCAAGATTGGGGGTGTGCTGCAGAAGACATTGAAAGACTAAGAACAGGTTACATGGGGCTTGTAGAGATCACTGCTATTACAAATAAATGCTCCCACTTCCATTATAGACTGCTGGGGGTCACGGAAGAAGAACCAAATGGCCATGGGTTGGGCACCAGGGTCGCAACATCTCCCCTTCCATACAAAGTTAGAAAAAAGGTTTTGGTATGGCCTAATTTGCATATGCATTTGTATATCTCTAACACATTTTATGGGCGTGTGTGCAAGCTGTTCAGCTCGGGCTGAGTTCACATGTGTTTGCTGCCCCCGCCAGAATGAAACAGAAACTGTACTGTAAAGAAAGAGGATTCCCTGACCACTGACACCTATTCTATAGATCTGGTGGAGGTGAATTTAGTGTTAATTACACATACCTCTGTGCCTCTGATCCGTAGGTACTGAGCGATATATCTCTAGACCTGGCAGTCATATCCATCCATCTGAATCTGTTGCTTGTCCTGGTCCACCATTTATGTTAAGTGAGGTATACAGCAATACCCGGCCATTTTAAGGTACCTAATTAAAGCAGAGCTCCGGGTAAAAATGTATGAACCCTTGCAGCGGGGCTACCCCAGCACTGCAAGGGATAAGGGCTTGTTTTTGACTAGGGTCAAAGATAATAAAAGGGTCAAAATTATACTCGCCTGATCCTCTGAGTTGGCTTGCTCTCTTAGACTGGTCCCTGGAGCCTCTCTCCCCCTCCGCTGCAATGTTCTAAGGTCCCAAAGTCATCACGTTCCATGAACAGTGTATTGGACGTGAGGACGATGAGGGACATACCATCACTGCAGCGGTCTGAGGTCCCTGAGTCATCACGTTCTATACACTGTGCACAGGATGTGAGGACGCTGAGGGACATACCATCACTGCAGCAGTCTAAGGTCCCGGAGTCATCACGTTCTATACACTGTGTACAGAATGTGAGGACACAGAGGGACATACCATCACTGCAGTGGTCTAAGGTCCCTGAAGCATCACGTTCTATACACTGTACAACACATGAGGACGCAGAGTAAGGAAAGAGGCAGGAGGGAGCACTGTCATAGCTGACTAGCTCCAAGGATCGAATGAGTAGAACTTTGGTGCAAGGGTTCATTGAAATTGTACCCGGATTTCTTCTTGAAGTTTATGGATTTCGGAGAAATGGGAATGCACGTTGCGTCTCTGTGGATAATCATTTTATTGTACGTGGTAATGAGGGAGAACGATGAATTAATATTTATCATTCCTGTCTTTTTAAAGGAAACCAGTACTGAGGGATTATGAAGGCTGCCATTGCTGAGCCGCCCTTCTAAGAATGCTGGTTGCCTGGCTGTGTCATGCTGATCCAGTGGTTTCAATAATTGCCGAGACTGACCCGGGACAAATATGCAGATCAGATGTTGTGCCTTGACTCCGATTTAACATGTATGTTTGTACCAGGCCAGAGACTCGGGAAGTAATGAAATAAGACAAAGCTAGACAACGTTGTATTTTTCTCAGTGTGGGTTTCCATTAGGTCAGGGGTGGACCCATTGATAGGGAATCAGGGGCCAGTCTGTCCAATCCAGAAGCCGGCTCCACTGACAACCACTAGAGAAAACCTCAGAAGTTAGGCGCCGACTGTCATATTTAAGGCCAAGTTCACAATGAGGGGAATTTATCAAAACCGGAGCAGACAAAATCTAGGAGCAGAGTTGCACTGCAACCAATCAGCTTCTCTGTCTCATTTTCCATTTCTTACCTGAGCAAACTGAAGAGAGAAGCTGATTGGTTGCCATGGGCAACTGCTCCAGTTTTGATCAATTCCTCCCAATGACTTTACCGCCCATTGGAAAGTAATCTGCAGTGGATGACTTTGCAGAGGGCGTTTGATGGCTGGTTGACAGCCAGTTTACAGGTGTTCAGGGGGCAATACTGTCACCTTTTGAATGCCTGTTTTTTTGGATCTTAAGGAGGATGCTGCATTACACAATACCGTGTGGCAAAGCATCACGGGCACTGAATGTGTACAAGCTTGAGCGATCGTTCTTTTTGGTGGGCGACAGTGGTAAAATCACAGATCAACTGACTGTGTGAGCGAAGCCTAAGGAGCATTAGCTGCCTAGCTATTGAGGTGTCTCCAGCCCTACTATAAGCCATTTTTGCAGTATGTTCTCATCTGTATACTGTAAGGGCAAGAACCAATACACTAAACCTTCTACACCCCCCG